GGTGAACAGCCCAAAAGCGGCAGGGCAGACACAGGTCCCATTTCAGGCAGTTCCTTCCTGCCCAAAACCAGGGTTTGCTGCCACTGTCATCCCAGCTCAGCCCAGGAGGAGCTCATGACCCTACACCGCCGTGGGATGGAGACAGCTCCTGCATCCCACCCACCAGCTCCAGGGATGAAGACAAGTGTCGCCCGGTCACTGCAGGACCTGGAGAAGCCCGGTGCTCCTCTGGGCCAGCCCTGCCCGCAGGTTTGGCTTTTCCATCCCCCAGGGTTTGCTGCCACTGTCATCCCAGCTCAGCCCAGGAGGAGCTCATGACCCTACACCGCCGTGGGATGGAGACAGCTCCTGCATCCCACCCACCAGCTCCAGGGATGAAGACAAGTGTCGCCCGGTCACTGCAGGACCTGGAGAAGCCCGGTGCTCCTCTGGGCCAGCCCTGCCCGCAGGTTTGGCTTTTCCATCCCACAAGACCGGGCTGGTTATAGGATCCAGGGACCATCCCGAAGCTCATGCACGGAGCTGGATAAAGCCAGCGCCTTCCTGACTCTCACCGTGGGCGATTTGCTCTTGTAATGGCTGGCGTGCTGCTGCAGGATGTCCAGGGCCTTGGACTCTGAGCTGGATTTACAACTCACGCTGGGGCTGGCTCGGGACTTGTCGCTGTCGTCACTGCCGGACGCCTTGCTCCCGTAGGGGGAGAAGGAATAGCTGGAGGGTAGGTATGATCCTAGTGGGGAGAAAAATCAGTCAGGGCACGAGGAGTCTTCGGGTGGCACAGCAGAAGCACACGGCTCTGCACGCGTGCCTCCAGGAGCGAGAGGATGTCCCACAGCCATCCACCACTCCGGGAGTGGGGACAGCCCGGGAAGGGACGTCCCCGAGAAGACCCCAGCTCGCTACCTGGGTAATTCTGCATCATGACGGTGGGCATGGCCCGGTAGCTGGGGTGGTTGGGGTCGTACGACTGGCTGTAGGAGTAGCCGTGCATGTAGGGGATGTAGGACTGATGCTGCGTGAGGGGTGAAGACACAGGGACGTGGACGCTGGGTCTGGGGTCCTTCCCCACCATGCGAGCCTCCTCGGTGGGGGTCAGTTTGCACTCGGAGCTGGTGCTCTCCTTCCCGTCCTCCTTGGACACGGCTTCTTTGCTTCGATTTCTTTCTTCCTTCAACTTTCGGTCCCTCTCCTCTTTCCACCGCTCGTCCTCTGTCTTGATGTCCGAGTACTTCGCTAGGTACACGTAGGTCCACATCCGGGGCTCGGCCTCCTGCAAGAACCAGCCAGCCATCAGAGCAGCTGCCTCCCCCCAGCCCTGCCTGTCCCAAAACCAGGCTGGATTTGGAGGAGGCCAGCGAACCCCACTCCCCTTCCCCGGGCTCTCCTTGACCCATCCATGGCCTCCCAGCCCCAACCTTTTGCTGGCCCTAAGGGAATCTCATGGAGTCCCATCACGAGCAGAGGACAACGCGTGTTCTCTGAGGTGATGACCCCAGCAAATCCCTGCAGCAAAGCCGCGGCGAGGGGCTTCCTCCGGGAGAAAGCCCACCGCCGGGCTGGCGGGGAGGGGCGAGCGCGCAGCGGGCGGGCATTACCTGTCTGTACCAGAGCACAGGGTCCACCTCCGCTTGCCGGCCACACTCAGAGCCAGCCTTCACCTCGGCGGTCTCCTTCCCGAGGTGGCTGGCCTCGCTCAGTTTCACCTTGAGCCCCTCGGCGACCTGGCTGCCAGACAGCTTGGACGAGTCCTCCAGCTTGGGGATGATGACAGATTTGGCCATGTCGGGACCTCCCTGCTCCTTGGCCTTGCCCAGCCCCGACTTGACGAGGTCCGTGAGGCTCGGGGCCTTGGTGAGCGTTGGGGGCATGGGCGGCTTTTGTTTCCACTCCTCTTTGAGCGCTGCCTCCCTCTCCTTCAAGCCTAGCTCTGCTTTCTTCTCCAGCCCTCGCTGCTGCTGCTGCTCCAGGCTCTGCCGCTGCTTCTGCTGCTCCTCGTACTGCTGGCGGTAGGCAGGGTTGGTGCTCAGCAGGTGAGCGTGGTAGCCCTGCTCATTGTAGCCGTAGGGGGGCACGTAGGCGTACTGGTTGTAGTAGAGGGACTGCATGTACATGTTGGGACGCTGCTGGATGACTGAGGGCTGCTGGCTGGAGCCGCCGAGCTCTGCCTTCTTCTCTTCGCAGCCTTCACTCTTCACCTTCACCTCCGGGTTCTCCTGCTCCTCGTCCTTCTTCAGCTTCAAGGCCTGTGTCTCGGCCGCGGCCTGGCCGCCGGGGTTCAAGGGCCCCGGGCTTGCCTGGGGGTAGCCAGGGGAATAGTAGGTTTCAAAGCCTTGGTAATAGGGAGACTCTTTGCTCTGCGGTTGCGGGGGGAAAAGAGCTTTTTTGGCGCCTTCCTTGACCAGTTGCTCCGGATCCTTCGCCTTCACGCTCTCCAGCTTGCCCTCCCCATCCTCCCCGGCGTCAGAGATGTCCGAGTAAGCCGGGCTGTTGGTCTTCACCGAGCTCGCCTCTGCCCCGTTCTGGGTGACGACATGCAGCGGGGTCATGGGTTGGGCTGGGTTGGTGTTCTCCAGCCTGCTGGCACCACCGATGGAGGGGCTCGGGGCGTTGTCGGTGAAGCTGTAGATTTTATCCT